TATATATATATATATATCTGGCAGCTTTCTCTGAGTCCCACTATGTCAGTGTCTTCGAGTCTATATGTATATAAAGTAATGTCAGTGCCATTGAAGCAGCAAAACACTGTATGTCAGAGCAGGTCAACCACACATGTCCCATCTTCACACTGCTTGTCATTTATGTATCAGACTATTTATTGCACGTATTTCTTGCTTCTTGTTTCCAAATATTCATATTTTTTCTTCCATAGATGATATATGTGTTTTGTTTGTTCTGTAATATAATTGTCCTATTCTCCTTGATGCTGTGGCTAAATTGTCTGCATTAATTTAATGCAATGTAGCAAGCTGAAATGAAAAATTGAACTGACTGCAGCACAGTCACTTTGGCAGTCTACCACAACGACACAGTGATCCACAAACCTCACCTTTATGAGGATAAATCAGAAATCTTTATATTAAAACTCAGATTTGGAAAGTTGATAATATGCTCTGACAGTGGTTTTTACAAATGAAAGAACATCTTTAAACTTTTATAAATAAGATTAGAAACTAGTTGCTTCACTGTTAGAGTCTGAAATGTAATGTTTTCAATGCTGCAAACTAGCATCTAGCTTTCTTTGCACATTAGTTTCTATTCCAGTCTATTCAAGTTTATTTAATCTACCATTGAATATCCTCATTCAAACAAATGAGTGAAAAATAATACCAGAACATACCAACAATTATTAGGGTAGTATGTTAACTATACCTGATGTGTCGTTAAAGTACTGTTTGAATTCCTCCGTGTACGCTTTTGAATCCTGATACGCGTCAAGGCAGATCTGAACCTGCCCCTTGAGGTACTGAGGGTCATTGTCCATTAACTTTTTGATCCAGACCTGCCTGGGTTCTACTGTTCCCCTGATGCTGTCACAGTAACTCACTTGTACATCATCAATCTTTGAAACAACCAGAAACTCTGGGAAGGTTTGGAGTCCAGAGGATGTCGTAGCATAAAATGTCAGGGAGTGTTTCACTGAAAAGAAAAAAAAAAGGTTTCAGGTTTTTGAATAAAAAATGAATTTTCATAAGCTGTTAGTTCCATATCAATCTGCTCACAGAAATGCAAAGGTTATTATGAATGTAATGTCAGAGATGCAAATACAACAGAAATGTCTCCGAACTAGAGAAGCTACAGGCAGGTATGAGGAGATTTTAGGGGATGGTCTTCAAGTTCAGAGTATTTAGATTTTTAAGCAACTTTGTACACTCACTAGCCATTTTATGAGATACACCTTGCCAGTACCAGGTTGGATACCCTTTTGCCCCCAGAACTGCCTTAATTCTTTGTGGCATAGATTCCAGAAGGTGCTGGAAATGTTCCTCAGAGATTTTGACATGATAGCATGACACAGACTGTGGACACCATTGGAGTACAGTGAACTCATTGTCAAGTTGAAGAAACCAGTTTGAGATGATTTGAGCGTTATGATATTGTGTGTTGTCCTGCTGGAAGAAACCATCACAAGGTAATACACAGTGGTCATAAAGGGATGGACATGCTCAGCAACAATACGCAGGTGTTCAAAACGATGCTCAATTGGTACTAAGGAGTCCAAAGTGAGTCAAGAAAATATCCCCAACATCGTTAAACCACCAGCAGCCTGAACCGTTGATACAAGGCAGGATGGATCCATGCTTTCATGTTGTTTAAATTTTGACCATCTGACAGTCGTAGCAAAAGTCAAGACTCATCAAGCCAGGCATTGTTTTTCTAATCTTTTATTGTCCAATTTTGTTGACCCTGTGTGAACTGTAGCATCAGTTTCCCATTATTAGCTGACAAGAGTGGCACACAGTGTGGTCTTCTGCTGTTGTACCCTGTCTGCCTCAAGGGTCGACATGTGCGTTCAGGAATGCTCTTCTGCATACCTCAGTTGTAATGACTAGCTATTTGAGTTACCGTTGCCTTTCTATCGTCTCAAACCAGTCTGGCCATCTCTCATCTCTGGCATCAGCAAGACATTTTCACTCAAGAGAATTGCCACTCACTGGATAGTTTCTCTTTTTCAGATCGTTCCCTGTAAACCCTAAAGATGGTGGTGCTTAAAAACCCCAGTAGATCAGCGGTTTCTGAAATAGTCAGACCAGCACATCTGGCACCAACAATCACGCCATGTTCTGAGTCACTTAAAACACCTTTCTTCCTCATTCTGATGTTCAGCTTGAATTTTAGCAGGTTGTCTAGACCATGTCTACCTTCCTAAATGCATTGAGTTTTTCTGCTTTTGTATTGTCATTCCATTTGGTTGTGTCAAAATGCTAAGCCTGTTGGAGAAACTACACCATCTTATCAAACAAATCTCTTTCAACAAGAGCCTGCATGTTTAAAACTCTTAACACTTCTTACCTGAAAATGCCTCGGAAAATAAAATGAGCAGAAAAACAAGCTCCATTGTCTCTGTGGCGGTTGTGTGACTGCTGCTGGGGTCAAGTGTGTAAAACTGCAACAAAAAATCAAAAGCAAAAGTCTGAGACAAAGAGCGCTTCTTGTTGGCTCAGGTGATCAGAAGGAAATAATGAACAAAACATGTTTGACTGGAAGAGTTGGGTTATGTATTGTGTAAGGAGGAGTCTGAAAGAAAATTAACTGGAACACCTGAAGATTTTATCCAAGAAAACACATACAAGTAGGAAACAGTTCAGACGAGGCAACAGTGTTGTGTACGGACAGGTAGCGATGTCAAAACAACAATTTAGGTATAACATTTAAAAACAGCAAGCTTTAAATGGGAACAAAATAAAGATCCATAGCTAGAAGACTTAAGAAGAAGCTGCCACTGTTGATCTCTCATTACAAAAGTTGATCTGAATAAATAAATATACAGTTTTAAAATGAAAATGAAGACTGTTTCCAGGTCAAACAAAAGAAACTGACTTCAGTTGACCAAAAGTCATTAATCATGTCCATGTTCCTGTATTGTGTTTGTCTGTGTTTTATGATGTTTAAGTGTTTACTGACAGTTGATGTAATGTGCTAAACCTTTTTTTCCTCCATCTGTACACATCTGGCAGTTTTAACTGTTAACTTTACAACCTCTAAATGAACCAAACATGGAGAAACTAACATATTTCAGTCATTTAAAAACTCTGTGTACAATATCAGTTTTTCTATATATACAAGAATATGTGCAAGATCTGTATTTGTTCCATCAATATTTCTACTTATGGAGGAATATGTGCTACACCACTGATATGTGCAATGTCATATTTCACATTTGGGGATTTTTTTTCTGTGCATCTGAATATCTACACATGAAAGAATCAGTACTTCTGTATATTTTTGGTAGTTTCTCTTTTCTAGTGATTTTCCCTTCAGTTTGCACTTCCCCCTTTGCTGCTGGAACACTGCAAATTTTCCCCACTGTGCAATGAATAAAGTCTTATCTGAATATTTAGTGCATTAGAGAGTACGACGACCTGATTATCTGCCAACAAAAACAAAAGATAATCTGCATGGCAATCACATGTTAACATTACAATATTTCATAATTGAAATCTCCTCATCAGAGTGCTCTTGCCAATATTTAAAAAGTCTGCTCTCTGCCTCCATGAATTGAAAATTTGCGTTAATTAAGTCATAGCTTAGCCTGGTGTTTAGTTTGACCCAAAAGCTGGACACAGAAAACCAAAGTCAAAAGTCTTTATTCAGTGAGCCAAAGGTATCACACAGATGATCAGTCTGTGTGGCAACAAATCCAACTAAGGAAGCAGGCAAAAGGCAAAAACTATGAACAACCCACATCCAGACATTTAATATGCAGGCAAATGTCTTAAAAAAAGAGCTGGCAAAAGTGATACAAAAGGAGTTAACCAAACCAGAAAACACTAGCAAACAAATTTGTAACAGGGATAAGGCTGAGGTCAATATCCCAGATCATACAGGGAATTTATATCTAAAACATGTAAACACAAGCAGAGCAAACTTGGAAATGGCTGGAAAGCTTGACTACAAGAAGCAGAAAGATGATCTGGTGCAGAGTGATTGGAGAGCTGGTGCTTTTATACTGTGGAAGGAGGTTTATGGATCAGCTTCAGGTGTTTGATGGAAGCAGAGCAGGTGAGAAGGCAGCAGTCAGAAGGATGAAACACCCACAGCAGGGCAGGACACAAGAAGGAGAAAAGAAAAAGACATAAAAATACCACCAATACAACAACAGTAGCTGCCACGACACAAATGTGTTTGGAAAGCGATGGCAAATAAACAGACATAGTTTACAATATGTGAGCCATCTTTCATAGATATTTATACTGGAGCAGAAGAAGCAGTCTGTTGTAGACATGCAGTATGTGTTCAAAGTACAGCAATAATCACATAAAGTTGTTCCTGCACCTGTGGTTGTCGTGTTTCTCTATACAAAATTATGACCATAAAGTGGCAGCTNTGCTTTGTACATCAGTTTCTATTCAGTCTATTCAAGTTTATTCTATCTACCATTCAATATCCTCATACAAACAAGTGAATGAAGAAATAATACCAAAACATACCAATAAACATCAACTATACCTGTAGTATGGTTAAAGTGCTTTTTAAAGTCTTCAGTAACTGCTTTTGATTCCTGATAGTCGTCAAGGCAGGTCTGAACATGCCACTGGAAGTTCTGAGGTTCAGTGTCAAAGAACTTGTTGACCCAGTCCTGCCTGGGTTCTACTGCTCTCTTGTTGCTGTCACAGTAACCCACGGGCACGTTGTCAACCATAGAAACACCCACAAACTCTGGAAAGGTTTGGAGTCCAGAGGATGTAGTCAGGTAATATGTCAGGGAGTGTTCCACTAGAGGACAAAAAAAAGGTTTAGGGTTTTTAAATAGCAGTCTTTAAAAATGAATTTTCATAATCTGTCAGTTCTGAAATTACCAAACCAGCCCATCTGGCACCAACAATCATGACAAGTTCAAAGTCAGTTAAATCACCTTTCTTCCCCATTCTGATGCTCAATTCAAACTTCTGCAGGTTGTCTTGATTACATCTACCTGCCTAAATGCATTGAGTTGCTGCCATGTGATCGGCTATTTAGATGTTTGTGTTAACGAGCAGTTGAACAGGTGTACCTAATAAAGTGAGTGTATGTTTAAGCCAAATCTCAAGTGGTTATTAGTGGTTTACTAAAACCAAAACAAGATGATTCCAGTTCACCACAGGGGCACCTTATTAAAGCTCTTTGTCCTGTTCTTTAATTCAATCTGCATTTTGCCAAATTTAATTCCAATATGGAACAGAATACAAAACATCTGTGGTCTCTGTTGGTATTGTAGTAACCTTTTGTTGTGTCATAATGTCCAACCTTTAAGAGAAACTACACCATCTCATCAAACAAATCACTTTCTACAAAAGCCTGCATGTTTAAAACTCTTAACACTTCTTACCTGAAAGTGCCTCGGAAAATAAAATGAGCAGAAAAACAAGCTCCATTGTCTCTGTGGCGGTTGAGTGACTGCTGCTGGGGTCAAGTGTATAAAACTGCAACAAAAAATCCAAACATCTGGAATAAAAGTCTGAGACAAAGAGAGTTTCTTATCAGCTCCGGTGATCCGAAGGAAATAATGAACAAAACATGTTTGACTGGAAGAATTGGGTTACGTATTATGTGAGGAGGAGTCTGAAACACCTGCAGATTTCATCCAAGAAAACACATACAAGTAGGAAACAGTTCAGACGAAGCAACAGTAAATATTTCTGTTGTAAAACTTTTCTTTGCCTCTTCTGTAACGTCTTAAAAGGACGCTGTGGAGGAGGGAATGTTCCATTAAACAAGACAAGGATGCATTCAACAGCAGCATTCAGGGTTGTTAAAACTCTTCATGCTTCTATGTGCCCTCGCTTAAAATAAAATGTTCTTACTATGCACCATTTATCCAACTGACCTGCAAGTTTATGAAACAACACACTTATTAAATACCTGCAGATTGATTTTAAAAGCTACAATTAAGCAAAATAATAAAAACAATTTAAAAAAATGTTAGAAAACGGCTATTAAAAAAATACAATTATTGCACTTAGGCAATTTCTTTTTGTAAATGGTCTCATCAAGGTGTTTACATGACTTTTCTATTAGCTCCACTTTATGTTAACTCATTATCATGTTAATAAGTTCACAGAATCCACCAACATCTCAGTACAGAATGTTACAACTCAAACCAGAGCAGATCAACAGAAATAACTGAAAACTGTGTCTTTACTTTAGAATATAATCTGAATAAAAGAGTTCTAGTCTGTGACATATAAGCTCATTCTCTAAGCTGCTCTATCGATGAATCTCCTTTTGACTTTACAGCTATGCCCAGTGAAATGTGCTGACACAGACGTCTAAAATGTTAGAATATGACACTGAAAATGACATAAAATGACAAAACAGAATATTATCCCCGACATTAAATGAGCTT